GCATTCCTGGTTACAAGGGATGCTTATTGTTTGATTTATGTTGCTGTGAGCTCAGAAAGCAGCACTGTGGTGTGTGTATCTGTAAGGTAGGTTAACCTCCCTTAAATCTCAGTATTTGAGCTATTTGGTCCAGTGGAGAGAACTGGAAGAACTGAGAGGGAAACAAAGTCTTGATAAGAAAAATCAGCCAGCTGATCCAATTACTGTTTGTTTGTCACTGAGAGTATTTACTGAAGTTTAGGACTTTACAAATCTGGAATATAGATCCCAAAGATCTGAAATTAAGGAACGCAAGTACAGTTAAGATTAAAATACCTTTAGATTTACACCCCCAAGTATAATGTATTTTTAGAAATTATTAGCAGGTGTGCGACACACTGATCACGTATATAAGTGATCAACATAAGGTTAGAAGAAGCATTGTTGGGGCTGTTATTATTTGGAGACAATAATAATGACGTCGTCATCTCTTGCGCTTCTTTTGCCTCTCATCATATAGCCCTGGTAGCGTTGGGAAGGATAACTGTATCTGTTGCATGCTAATACTTTGCACTGTAGGCAAACTCTTGGGTATATGGGACCTCTGAAATTGAACTGGATGATCCTCTTGCCTGGTGAATAGTAGCTCCTACAGGTTGGGTCCCTTACACACCTGAGAAAAGAAAGGAAGGAAAAAACCCACATATAATTGTCATACAAAAATTGTGACATGGTCACTAAGCCCATTTATTTCATTGGTTGCAAGAAACTTTCCTTCAGAGATTTCTAACTGTGATGTTAATCCCAATTCACAGCACAGAACTCCTGAACACAGGTGCAACTATATGGAATTTAAATCTGTATGTCAGTATAATATGGAACATAACCTATATAAATATCACACGCATATGTAAATGTATAAATCTAAAGCACCTGATGGAATTCTAAGTATGTGAGAAAGAGTTACTGTGTAGGTCTGTTATCTTTCATCTCAACCTTAGACTTTCTGAAGAGCTATGAAGAAACAATTCCATACCCCAAATCAACAAAAAACCTTTCATTGGATGCTTCATTCTTCTCTAAAATTTTTACATAATTTGTGAAATACCTTCTGCGAATTTATACCAATTCTTCTTCCCTAGCAGAATATTATGGTGAATTAAAAATAAAAAGCTAACTAACAAAACTGTGTGTTTTTGTCCTCATAGGTAGTTCATTTAAAATCCTGCTGCTTCTTGCACATGGGTGACTCAAATGTGTTTCAGGACTGTGTATCTTTGGTGTATGTATTTGTTGTTGTCCATATGAAGTCAATCACATGTGAGGAATTATTTTGAAATGGTTGTTGAGATATTTTCCTTACTCTTTTCTAAAGAAATCAGATGCCACAGTTGTAAAGTCATGAGGATTTGGAAAGACCACACACATGTCTGTAAACAGCATCAGATTTGTCTCTGTGCTGTGGAGGGTAGCAGGAACAAACAAATCCTGGTTTGGATGAGATCTTCACTGAAT